AACACCTTGCGGGCAGCGTCTGTCGGATGTTTTTTCAGGAAGATTCGGGTCATGCAGGAAGAGGCTGGTATGCACTAAATTCTAGATTACAAATTACAAATTCATGAATTCACTGTGTGCACTTGCATCATGCACTTGCATCACAGGCCCGGTGCAACGGTGATACACGTGCCATCATCGAGAACCACTGCGTGACCTTCCGGTATGTCAAGCTCCGGAGTGCAGTGATCCCCTGCATCTGTGTCCAGGGCATTGTCTGTAGTCGTGGGCCGGTCAGCTAGGACGACTCGTTCGAGTCGCTCAAAGGCCGGATAAAGCTGCACGACATGAGATTCCACACCTGAAAGGGTTTCCAGTGCTTGTCGCAGCATCGAGGAACTGTCCGAGTCGCGGAGAGACATGTGGTCCGCAATGTAGCGGAGCGCCGGCAGCACATCTGTATCCATGTGTGTGCGAAGATGTTGTTGCAGCGCAAATATGTCGGCCAGGAAGGAGGTATGCGTAACATCTGTCGGAGCTGGGGTCGTCAAACGAGTTTGGCGTAGTGCTTGTTCCAAGCGTTGGAGGCCTCCTGCGACACTAGCCGTGTGTCGCTGATACAGACTCTCTTCCTTGGTCAGGACATCATCCAGTACATCAGCTATCTGTGTGACCACGGTGACGATCTCGTTGTACATGTCATCAACATGTTTGACAGCTCTGCAGAGGGAGCCCATTCGTTTTTCCAGTGCAGCAAGGCGGGTTTCGACGTGTCCTTGAACCCGCAGCACCAGAGCTTGAAGGTCTCTATTCTGTCCGCGTAGACCTTGCGTGGCCTGGAAGACTTGCTCCTTCAGGGTCTCAGGGAAAATGCCTGGTGATGGAACCAAGACCGGAGTACGGAGGGCGGTCATCAGCTCGGTCAGTCTGGACTGCTGTCTCAAAAGGTCCGTCAATTGCAAACTCATCCTGCGAAAAAGGCAGAGTAGGCAGAGACACAGACACGAGAGAGCAGCTGCTATCAGGATGAGCGGCCCTATCATCCGGTCGTCCACGAAGTGCTGGGCAGGAAAAAATTGGCCGTCCTGCCCCCCCCCCTCAATGATCCCCTTGCAGGTAGAGTCAGCCATGGCAACCGTGGCAGAAAAACCTCGGGGTCTCTCGAGAGGTGCACGTCTGCGGGGTCAGCAGGTGACTGGCAGTCGCAGGATACATCGCTGTGCCTATAACAGAACCGCAACATCCATGCTTCTCACTGTGGGAAACGACATCAAAAAGGAATGCACATGCAACATGCAAAGTAGTAAATTATGCAACCTCATGCAGTATGATATGCACGTGCCGCATGCAATATGACATGTACATGCATTGTCAGCAAAACTGAAGGTAAGCAGGTCAACGGACAGACTTGCCGAATCCAAAATCCGAAGAAGCACAACCCCGTTACAGTTACCACCACGCCTTGGCTGAAAGAGGGTCCTGTCTCACTGAAGTGAATTTGCTGAGCCTGTAATCCCAGGAGCGGTACAGAGCCTTGTCGTGGGAGAAGGTCGCTGCCTGCTTGGCCGCGTTGTCAGCGACTTCATTCAAAGGATCTCCTGTATGTGCCCGCACGTGGGACACTTGCAGGAATTCCTTGACAGGTTCCCACGCGGCTTTCAGCATGCAGACCTCAGCCAGGTTTGTCGTAGTGACTATAGAGTCGGAAAGGATTTGTAATACATGTAGGGAGTCGCTCTGAAATTCAATGTGGTGTCCTGGGAAGTCATGGTGAAGCTTGGCGCAAATCCTGAGTCCATAGGCTGCTGCAATGAGTTCGGCCCGGATGTTCGTGCACTTACCTGCTATCGGCAGGCATACTATGATAAGATCCTCCGGAAAGCGTCCGTACGGGGGGAGAATGGCAATCCCACCCCCGCCTTTGTATTTGCAGGAGCTCCCATCGCTTGAGACTCTGAAAACAGCCTGGGAGAGTTCATGAGTGGGGCCTGGAACAAAGCGGTAAGAGAGTTCGTACGGGGTTTCTACCGGTAGATGACGCATCGGAAGAAGGTAGAACCTGTCGCCGATCTGAAGAAGAGACCGACCAAGCAACTCAACAAACTCAAGATGCTGAAAGAATCCTGACGTGTGCTCGAAGCGTCGCTCAATCCATTCCGAAACGAAACTCTTCCAATCCTCCCTGTCAGCAGCTTGTGGAACCCAGTTGCCTAAGCGATCTAAGGACTCCCATGCAAGCTGTATCCAGCGCACAGAATCCGGCCATCGACCTCGGCGCCTACGAGTGGAGTCCCTGGTGAGCAGCCAATCCGCGTCTCGAAAGCTGATGACACGGGTAATAGGGCGCCAATCGAAAACACTATACCGGGCTGCGTGCCCCCAATAACGAAGGAAACACGATGCCTGTCCTATCGCCCAACGAACATGGCCAACGGCTTGCATCGCCATTCTGGTGGCTCTGCGTCGACAGACCCAATTGTCCAGTTTAGGCTGAAGGGGGTCGTATGCGGGACGCAGCATAGAAGATACCAAGGTAGTCTGCAGGACGTCTAACAGCCTAGACACCTCGGTGATCGGCCGCACCGCCGCTGACATCCACTTCCACTTATTCGTGACAAAAGCATCAAAGAGGTGGAGACGCTTCTGCAGGGGCGAGGAGCCTCGGCACAAGAAACCGCTATGGGCCCAGAACGCATTCGTGGCAGCTGCCAGTCTCCTGGAAAGTACAGTCGCACAAGACAGTCTGAAACCTATCAGGATTCCGAGGTAGATGAAGGCCTCGGTGTGCTTAATTGCGAGTTCTGAGGGAAACCCGTCGGGAAGCAGCGGGGAGGTGTCTTGTCCTGGCGTGCAAATAAACTGACACTTATCCAGCGCGAGCTGAAGCCCGATGGCTTGAAGCGTCGAGCGTATATCCTGTAACATGCCAAGGGCTGCCTCTCGAGAGGGACAAAGCAACACAATATCGTCAGCGTACAAAATGGCGTGCATCATGACCCCTCTCGCGTCTTGAAGCCAGGTCGGAAATCTATCTCTCCAACGATGTAGCGTGGGGGACACGAAATGGTCAAGAACACGGGCAAAGATTTCGGCGGAATAAGAAGATCCTTGTTTGACCCCCTGCAACAAGTCCTGGCACCAATGTTCAGATCCCATGGAAAGGCTTGCAACCGAATACAAATTATGGTGAGGAGCAAGTATGCTTCAACAGAGGGACCCAGTGTCAGGAGGAAGCGGCTCACGGCCGCATGCGATAGCGTGTCAAACGCTTGGGCTATATCCAATTTGACCGCATACAGCGGTAATCGCCACTGTTGTGATTGCCTAACAGCATGTTGGAGGGCCAACGAGCCATCAAGGCTCTGGGCTCCTGGCGCACCTGAGAGCTGGCAGGATGTCATAGGAGGAAAACGAGGGCGGAGTCGACAGAGGAGGAGTTTAGTGAAGAGTTTGCCAGGAGTAGAAGAGAGAACGATGGGGCGTAGATCTTTAGGCTTGCAAGGAGTTTTAATTTTCGGCAAAAAGACGACCTGGGACCGGAGCCAGGAGTTTGGGATGGGCCTAGACCCGTGGAGAACAGAGTCAAAAAAACGACGAAAGCTGGTTTCGAGGGGAGACTGAAGGATTGAGTACATAAGCTCGTATGGAATGCCGTCAGCCCCACTGCTCTTGCCAGCCTTGGTAGTCCCAAGAACATCCTGCAGCTCCTGGGCTGAAAAAGGCTCAGCATTGGGGAGCTCGCCGGCAGACTCCTTGTACAATGTAAGGGGTAGGTCACGAGGTTGCAAGTCTGCAGGCGTGTACTTACGTTTGTAGAAGGACTTGAGATCTTGGGATGCTTTTAGTTCGCCACCAGCTCGCATCATGTAGCCTCCTTGGGCCGCCTTAGTGCTCTGTCTCCGTTTAAAGAAAGACACCGCATGGTAGTCTCCCTTTGAACCTCTCTCCAGGAGAGTCGAGAACCAGGATTTCTTAGCGATCGCTCTGGCTGCGGCCACATTGTGTGCCAGTTGCCTGGCTTCAGCTCCCGTCGCTCGTCGGCGGGCCGCAATGAGAGCCTTGACCTCCGGACCGTCCCTATACCTTAATGAGCTGGGGCGGAAACACACCTGAGCGGCTAGACTCTGTAGGTGGCGCTCATCAAGGTCCATGCCGTGTAATTCTAGCTGCTCCTGCAGAGCTACACAGAAATCCGGTGCAGTTTGCAGGTTCACTCGCCATTTACCGCACTTTGTGGAGTGGTTAGCATACCTTGCAAAACGACATGACGACTTAGTGCGTTGCAACTTGAGGCCAGCAGTGCAGCATCTGTGATCAGTTTTAAGCAAGGAATCCGACCCCTCAAGAACCTCAGAAAGGACAAGAGACTGCAGGCCCTGCGAAAACAAAACGTAATCGATGCGGGACGTCGCCCCGCGGGTATTCGACCACGTGTGTTTGTCGGGGCATGTTCTGAGCAGCCCAAACTGATGCATAAACCCATCTAGCATGACTCGACGGTCGTCGTTCTCCGAAGCAGCGAGCGAGGTCAGATCTAGGTTGAGATCGGCCATGACAGTAATTGTGTCCTGAAGGCGAATCCCGTCAAGCAGCCCCCGGAGTTGTTCCAGTTGCTCCTGCCACAGCTGCGAGCAATCGGTCCTTTGTCGATGGGGTAGATGCAAACTAATTATGAATTCCTTGCAACCAGCTTTCTTAATTACCACAGCCAGACCAGTTAAAAGAGGCTTGACTTGAATTACATGCCGCAACGAGTCGAGAGGAATGCCGACTATGGTGCCGTGAAAACTCTGGGGGGGGAAAGTGGAGAAAATGGCATAGGAAGATGAGCCCAAATGGACTTCGTCTTGTTCCCATCCCATGTGAGCGAGTTCTTTCAAGCCGCCCACTTCCTGAAATGCAAAAAAATCGATCCCCTCACCACCCAGCAAATCCCAACATCCTGAAACGTCCTCGAGGGTTTTACCGCGAAGATTCCAGGTACGCATGTACGTGACATGTGCATGGCAGGGCGCGCGCCCCTATGGGCGCTTGGTGATGCGGGTCTCCCAACGCTCCGGGAGGCTTTCCGAAGTCAGACCTGTGGCCTTGGTGAAAGCGGCCCCCTTGATATACCAGCCTGAGTGGTTACCCCTCGCATCTGAAAGGGGGAAGTCATCGTCCTGCAGGGGATCGGCCGAGTCGGGAGAGCCCAAAACATTGATGTTACCAACGAAGAGCTTGCCTCGCCAATCGATCTCTGCCAGGCGTTTGGTAAACCCTTGTGCAAATGTTAATTGCTCGATGAACTCCTTAACCGAGACAATGGCCCGAATCTTTGCACGGTCTTCGGGAGTTCGGTGTCTTTGCACCCATAGCTCTCTGCACTCTTGCCCGGGGATGTTGCTGAGAAACTTCTTAGATTTCAGCTTGTCCAGAACCTGTGTTTGAAAGGCTCGCTGCTGGGGAACGTTCTTACAGTTGTCGGGGAACTGCAGGGTGACTCGGACATGGGAGGTACGCGAGTACGGGCTCCAGATGTCGAGCCAGGACTTCTCAAGCTGCATGGCCTCAAAAAACGCTTTGGCTTCTTCAACCGCTTCATCCCTTCTAGCGTCTTCCCAGCCCCCAATTGCCAACTGCAATTCCTCGTCGATGTTTCGCTCACTCCTTGGACTGCTCCCTCTGGGGGAAGGGGGGGCTCTCTGAGGTGTCGGCGAACGCGAGGCAGCCCTCAAGTCTCTCACTTCTCGTTCAAGGGCTGAAATGCGGAGGTGGTGAGCTTCACCCCGCTCAGTATGTTCTTTGAGAACTGCATCATGAGTGTCAAGTCGGACTTTATGGCTTTGAAGCTCGGATGTAAAATGAACCATTTCACGATGCATGTCGAGATGCCGGACGTTCATATCTGAAACGTCCTGCTTGATAGGTTCAAGTTGCGTGAGGAGTCTGCCTTCCAAGGCTGCCACCCAAGGGGGGGTCTCTTGATCATAGGGCGTGGCTCGCTCTCTCTCACGTTCTCTCCGAGACCGGAGCCCTGTCGTTAGGACAGGGGGGGCAGCACTCTTCAATTCGTCGTCGTTGTCTTCCTTTTTGACTGAGAAATCTGGATCGATGTCGAAAAACTCTGGGCCTCCTCCACGCCTGTTTGGGCCACCGAAACCTGGGGCCTCGAGTCTGGCGAGTTTCGAAGGGGGAGGTTTTCGGGTCGAAGAGTCGCTACCCGAGCTTTCTCTGTCGTTCTTTTTGACCAAAAGACTCTCCAAGGCACTGACATGATGCCCGACCTGTCCTCCAGCCGTGATCGCTGTCTTCGGTCCTGGAATGTGCTCCTCCAGCGATTCCCTCGAGGATTTATCACGGCTCCTGGCAGGTACCGGGACAGGCCCGGTCGATACCGGTGCTTCGCCAATTCCTCCGGCGGCATTTGAGTCAGGAGAAGGGGTACGGTCTCCGGATGGCCCCTCATGGTCCCCTTCATCGTCTACCTCAATGCTATGGTCAGCAGCTGTGTCAGCGGGAAGCCCTCGTGCTGTTATTCCGAAAGGAACGGTAGTAGCCTGGCTGAGGGAGACTGGGGGGGCCCGTTCAGCTTCCTCCGTGCGGGCAGAATGCCCTGAAATCATCGTCTCACTGTTACTCTAGTCACGCACACGCGCCCTGGAGACTAGGAGAGTGGGAGAGAAGAGAGAGGATGAAAGGGAGGTAACGAAGCTGAAGGCCAGTGTTTCGAGCCGAGAACTTGAGCCAAAATGGCTACTCATAACTGATTCTAACTGATTATATTTTTATATCATATCATCATAATCCAAGAAACCAAGCCGATGACTGCGATCACGGTGTACCAGCCCTCTTCCAGCATGCGGATAAAAAAATCCTCATTCTCCAGAGGGTTCCAAGTCCCAACCGAAGCCGAACCTGACGAGGCATACGGCAGACTCGAGCACAGGAAGTTGCCTCCTAATGTGTACAACTAACTTCAGTAAATACGTAAAGGCAAGACACGCGAAGGCGAAAGCGATCTGCCATTGTCGTCTCGGATGTTGCGAGGCCACATTCCTCGCACATCGTAGGACGTGTGGCAGTACCCCGGGTAAAAGTGACGGACGTAGCCTCCCATAACGTCTCGTCCTTTACCCGCAGGCCCTTTGGCACCTGAGTGATGCATGATGCAGGTGTGAGACTGTGAGACAGTGAAAGGCCAAAAACATGAAGCCTACAAGACAGTTGCAGTCCAAGTGCTCATCCTCCCATAATCGAACTCCGCACCATATGCAACGACCACGCCCTCGAGGTCGATGCATTGGTAGCGTTCCATGTTCGCCATCCTCAGAATTTTTGAGCGCAACGTGCAAAACTCTTTCCTGCTGCCGAAACCACTCAATCAATGAATTCATCCGAGCAACACGAAGACGAAGACCAAGGCGAAAATCGAAGCCGAGGGAGGATGTAGTGCTGACGGGCTGCCAGTGCTGCTATGGCGACCGCAGGAGGCGCAGGAAAACTTGCGACACTTAGTGCACAGCCTTCAATGACTCTATGTGCCAGCCAGGCTAAATTATTTATTGACTCCGGACAGGATCCAGGCCATAACCCAGACACATGAAGAGCGGGAGCGGCAGTCCTGAAAGGACCTGTGTATCTACAGTACAAGAGCCAGGTTATCACATCAATATGCCACCCAGGCTAAACTAAATCTAAGCCAGCGGAAGTCCTGAAAGGACCTATGTGTCTAGAGTCTAGGGCCTAGGGTCTACAGTCTACAGTCTACAGTCTACAGTACAGGAGCCAGGTTATCACATCAATACGCCACCCAGGCTAAACTAAATCCAAGCCCAGATACGTAAAGCGGAAGTCATGGAAGATGGAAGGGCCTATGTACCTACACATCGATATGTATGGAAGTGAAGTGCCTAAGGCCTAGCCTAGATTCTAAAGCCCTGTATCATTGAGTTCCTGGTTTACGATTGATGACCTGACGCTGCACATGATCTTCGGAACTTTATGACATGTGCACTTGAGCCGGCCACAATCAAAGCAAGGTGAATGCAATTATGCAACGCTGCAAGTCGGCAATGTGCATGCATGCAACAACACTCTCGGCAACAAAAAGAAGCTGAAGGGACCTCTTCCGGCAGCCACCCTGAACCAAGACAATGATCATGAAGAAGAAATGCTGGACCTGGCATTTGCAGAACATGGTTCCACACCAATTTGGAGCATGCTAAGCTAGCGCAGCTGCCTCGAAGCCATCCGAGCGGTTCTGCTAGCCAGCCTGTCATGCATTTCTCACTCACTGACTTTATAATGACAAGCAATGCTCGTGGCATCTCCTACGAAGACGAAGACGAAATCGAGATGTGCAATTTGTGGACCTGACGATCATCTAATCGCTCTCAAGAATCTGAGAAACCCGAACGATAAGTTGCGGACCTGGCCGTGCACGAACTCCATCGGGACGGGATGATCATCTCATTCACTGTCAAGCATCTGAGAAGCCGGCCCGATAAGGTGTGAACATGGCTGAACTCCGCGATGAAATTGAGACTATTGGCCTTACTCATGAAGAGTAAATGAACGAACTGTAAGTCTCAGCTCCTGGCGCCACCTTCCAAGTCGAAGCCGAAGGATGCAACCTGGACCTGGCAAGGAAATGCTGCAACTGCAAAGGCTGCGGCTGCAATTGTATCGATTTAGCGATGCCAGTGACCTGCCTCGAAGACGAAATCGATGACCTGCAGATGAAATAATGGGGAAATACTTACAGTCTGTTACAGTTACACTCGACATCAAGAGCAATACTACTACCAAACAACTTGCCTCCGAGACCATCGAGATCAGAAATCGTCCACCATCATAGACCTGGCAGGTTCAAGCACAACGTGTGATGTTAAAAAGGGCCCATTTCAGCGCGCCTGGTTCCTGGGGGCCCATAATGGGGCTCACCCCAGCAGAATACTGGGGCCCGGGCGTGGGTGGGGCTCACCCAGCAATGTTAACCAGGGCCATAGGTCATGTGGTTACTGGGGCCCGCAGTGAGCTCAGCCAGCAGGGCCGATTGAGCTCACCTGGTTGCTGGGGCCCACAAGGAGCTCACCCAGCAGGGTTGACCAGGGCCCAATTGAGCTCACCTGGTTGCTTGGGCCCACAAGGAGCTCACCCAGCAGGGTACTGGGGCCCCGAGCGGAGCTCACCCAGCAGGGTTGACCAGGGCCCAATTGAGCTCGCCTGGTTGCTGGGGCCCACAAGGAGCTCGCCCAGCAGGTTGAAACTGGGGCCCACAATGGAGCTCACCCAGTGGTACGGGGCCCAACAGAGCTCGCCCGGACTGGGGCCCAAAGGGCACACCCAGTAAGATTGGGGCCCCGCAGAGCTCACCCAATCCGTTTGACTGGGGCCTCTAATCAGGCTCGCCCAGTAAACCCCAACCTGAAATTACCTGAAAAAACCCCTCCAAAACAAGCTCAAGGCACTGGGTTTAGGGGTTCAGGGCCGGGCCTCAACAGCGAAAGCGAAGACGAAGTCGGAAGACCTGAAGGCAGGGGGTTTAAGGCTTAAGGGTTCAGGGATTGGGCTAAGGTTTATGGGTCATAACAGTTTAGGGGTCAAGGTTTAGGGCTTAGGGTGTAGGGCCAGTGGGTTTCGGCTTTAGGGGTTCAGGGTTTGGATTAAGGTCTAGTAAGTAATTAGTAAAATTAATAACTTTAGTATGGGTTTTAAGTTATAAAAGTTTGGGGCTAGGGGTTTAGGGTGTAAGGTTTGGGTCGTTAAGGCATATGGTTTGAAAACCCCAAAGCCTAAACCCTGCACCTTAAAAGCCCGAAGCCCTAAACTCCAAAGCCTAAACCAAAAATCGAAACCAAGGGTATTTTTAAGCACGCCCTGCCCCCCCCCTCCAAACCCAACATCAATAACAAAAACCCTAAAACCTTAAATCCAAACTCTAACTCTCAGGTCCCGGCCGTGGCCGGCTGCTGGCACCAGAGCTTGTTGTCTTGGCGGTCGGCGGCTTTGGCGGAAGCCATTAAATATGTATGCATATTGTGTTACATAGATACTATAAAGCCAGGCCTTCCTTTAATTGGATTTTGTGCTTCTTCTAGCTTACCACATTGCTCACCCCCGCTTGAGACCCTAGTTCGGAATCTTGAAAGGCGCTCTAATCGATCAACAGCTGCAGCTGCTTAGTGCGGCCGAACATGTGAAAAACAATCGCCAAAACGAGCCGGATCCACAGGGCGGCTAAGGGAAAAGGGGGAGGAAAGGGCAAAGGGGATGGAAAGGGCAATGGTGGCAGCGCCGCTACGAAGCCATGTCCATTTCTGAAGAAATTTGGTTCGTGCAAGTTCGGTGACAAATGTTACTTCAAGCATGACGGCGTAGAGCCAAAAGCCAAAGCGAAGCCAGCCCCTAACCCGAAACCCACAGCCACACCTAAAGCCAGCCCATCGACTTCAACCCCGACTACCACAGTTGGAGCGCAGGCCGTGTGTCAGATGTGGTCGAAAACCGGCAAGTGCAGGTTTGGCGAAAAATGCAAATTGCAAGCACGAAGGTGAGGCAGCCGCAAAGCAAGCATCAGCATCATCATCGCAGGCCCAGGCCCCACTGGTAGGTGCACAGCCCAATCCTAAAGCTTCAGCCGGGCGAGTGAAGTCGCATGTTGCAATGGCTCGGAGTTCCGGGTATGCAGATTCAGCAGAGGCTGAGGAGGAGAGTAGTGCAGCGGCTTCTTCCACTGAGGAGGAGATGCCAATGCACGCTGAGGCGAGCACGCCGGAGTCGTCCGATGTTGAGCAAGGTTTATATCCCGATCAAGAATCTAGTGGAGCAGAGTCTTCAGACACAGAGCAAGAGCAACCCCAAGGAATTGCAGCTTATGTATCGAATACGGGGGGCCCGCTCTGGGTTTTAGATCTTAGCGTAAGGGACTATGTTGCGTGGACGCATAGGCGCACGGGACAATATGTGGCCGATGAAGGTCGTGGGCCACCTGAAATTCAGAGCTTTGCAGACAGTGCCTTTTCTACTATTTGCTTAAGAACCACCAAAAAATATGTTCCTTATAGGGATAATATAGGGATTATTATTTTCTATTTTTTTGGTGTTCTTAAGCAAATCGTTGTTTTTTCACTGAGCCGAATCTGCGGCCGGTGACGGGGGCAGTGTGGTTCACTGTCATACATGACCAGTTGGATGAGGATGATAGCGGAGTGATTCCAGTAGCTGATGGTGTAGATATGATCAAGCTTGACGCTGCGCTGGTGCAGTGTGCAGATGGGATCCCGAGACCGGTTTTCGTAGCTTGGGTGGCAGATTTAGAGACTGGACGTGAACGAAGATTCGCAGTCGCACGCCTGGCTGCACCACCGAGGGCAACAAACTCAGCAGTCCCATGGGCGGAGATGCGGGCAACTTCGTGGGCCGCGCCGCATGTGACACAGGCTCACCATCCACCTGTGAGCGCTTGTCTGCATCGACGACGAGTGTGCTGCCGGAATCCTTGTACCTAGAAGGGACAGATGGAGCACACCAGAAACCCCTAGCAGCAGCCGGGGTAGGAAGTGCCAGGAGGCATGCAGGGGGGGACGATCTTGTCCTTGCAGATACAGGTGCGAATGAGGTCATCACACGGCAGCAGCGGCAACGGCAGCCGCTGTCAACGATCGCCCTAAGGACCTTGACCCGCCGACGTTAAGCCCTAAGGACCTCGACCCGCCGACGTTAAGCCCTAAGGACCTTGACCCGCCGACGTTAAGCCCTAAGGACCTTGACCCGCCGCCGTTAAGCCCTAAGGACCTTGATCCGCCCAGCCGGAGCTCTAAGCACCCAATAGATCCCCCGAATGACCAGCCAGACGCGTGGCTATCCGAGGAGGACTTGGACGACGTGACGACAGGGGTTTTCAGGGTCTTGGGGATTTCGGAAAGTTCGGGAATGAGGCTGAAAGGGTAGAGGTGAGCCATGGTGTCGGTGCGGCGGCGGTAAGTCATGGACTAGATGACTTTAAAGCACGAACTCGAAGACCCCACCTGAGGTACAAGGCCGAAGATTTATCACGCGGAGTGTTGTCGATTGATCTCGCAAGACCATACAGAGTATCTGCGAACGGGGAGCGCTATGTTCTTGTGGCAGTCTTCAGATCTGAGGACAATGTGTTGCCGTTTGTCCGGTGTCTCAAGAGGCGACTGTGGACCGATGTGTGTGAAGGTGTATCTTCAATCTTGAGTGAACTCTGTGCCGTAGTGGGTAGCAAACAAGTCGTTCGTCTTCATTCCGATCGTGCAAAGGAATTCCTGGCAATCAAGGTTGCAGAGTACTTGAACA